CTGCTGAAAGTCCAAAGCAACGTAACACAATTTTTCCTTAATATCTCGAACAATTTCACGCTCCGCGGTTGTAGTAAAAGAATATCCTCTTTCCGTTAGAATCTTCATAAGGTAATCTGTTAAATCGCGGCCAGCCAAGTCCATACGTAAAATTGCATGTGGTAACGCATATCCTAGATCAAATAGGATTTTTAATTCGTAACAAATTTTATACTATTACATATATCATTTTTTTTATACAAAATCCTTCATTACTTTAATTTTACAGTTATGTTAAGGTATATTTCCGTAAATTTCTTTTAAAATTGAACCCCATATTTGTATATAATAACATACATGATATACAGTGAAAAAGTTTTTATTTTAATAATAATTTTTCTTCTATTATATAATATGTTTTATTACAATGAACCCCTTTTCGAACCTTCCACGTAGAATACACAGTTTTATCGATAAATTTGTCGAATAAAAGAGTAAAAAATACGAATCACTTTCGTTTCCTTGAATAATATATATCATTAATATTTAATATGTAATAATATTTAGTACTAATAAAAATACATGACATTAGTTACAAAATTATATATAACTCTTTAAAGGAAGGTTCTTTTTTAACGTTATTTACTCAGAAAATGTTTTAAATAAACTCTAAATAAAATGGATTCATATTTCTTTTACAATATTTATTACAAAATTAAGTTTAGACAAAAATATATAATTTAACGAAATAATCATCCTCCCGAATAAAATGGTAGATATATGTACATATACATATTTAATAAAACAACACATACCCTCATAAATCGGGACTGTGTGTGAAACTCCATCTCCGCTATCTAGAACAATGCCTGTAGTGCGGCCTGAAGCGTAAAGCGATAAAACAGCTTGTATAGCGACATACATTGCTGGAGAATTAAAAGTTTCAAACATAATTTGTGTCATCTTTTCTCGGTTAGCTTTAGGGTTCAAAGGAGCTTCGGTCAAAAGAACAGGATGTTCTTCCGGAGCGATCCTTAGTTCATTATAGAATGTATGGTGCCATATTTTTTCCATGTCATCCCAATTTGTTACAATGCCATGCTCGATTGGATATTTAACCGTTAAAACACCCCTTTTGCTTTGTGCTTCGTCTCCCACGTAACTATCCTTTTGTCCCATACCAACCATGATTCCCTATACGTAATTTTTTATTGTTTTCAAGATAAATAAATAAGATAATAAGTATTCATTCTTTCTTGTAAATTTTGAAATAATTTAAGTTTACAAGCGTTAATATATTGAATGTTAAAAATTCAATCATTTTTAACATTTCAGAGTGTTACAATATTAAAAAAAATTTGAATTACAAGTTATGATTAATATAATTATTACATACTATAAGTATATGAAAAAAGAAAATGATTAGTAAACTTTATGATTTCTTATTAATTCTGTGAAAAGTCAATAGAACCAATTTAATGTTTTATAATATAACTAATATATATTAACACATTTGGCAAACCATTTACAATTTGTAAATTACATTTAGAATATTATTAATTATCTTATTATTACTAATGGTAGAAATACAAAAAATTATATGTTTTACCTGATATCTAGGTCTTCCAACAATGGAGGGGAATACAGCACGTGGAGCATCATCTCCTGCAAATCCTGCTTTACACATTCCTGATCCATTATCTACTACTAAAGCTGCTACGTCGTCGTCACACATTTTAAATTGAAGATAGTTATTTTGTTATTCTTTGTATAAAAGAAAAAGATTGTAGGTGGTTGTGAACAACAGCAAATAGTTTATTTATTTGACTAGATTTTGCACTACCTCGACAGTGCATTGACTCCTCTAATATTGTTCGTGCTGAAGAATGGAGCTGCTTTATATTGATGCCCCCTCTTTTACTACCTCTATACATTCATGTCTGTATATTAAACAGTTTCTTGCACCTCAATGAACTAGTGTACGCTTAAGTTAACATAATGAAGTAATTTTTGGGTCTTGCATTCTTATAATTTCTAACATATATTCCATTGATATTTTTTAGATCTAAATATTATTTTATTGTTTAATGCATTTGTTATATTAGCATAATGGGATCTAGCTGAAGAAAAATTTAACTTAAAATTTAAGTAATTATAATTATATTAACAATTTAATGTTCAATTAGAGTTCTTAAAATCTATGTAACAGTAATAATTTATATTTAAGCAGAGAAGTTGAAATACTGAGAAAATTTAATTGGTTTTTAATATATGCCAATTAAGAGAATGTTACTAAATTTCGTATGGAGTTTATATGAAGTAGAGCATATGAAGTATTTCCTTGTGTCTTTAGTAATGTTAAAATTTTTTAACTAAAATAATTTGGATTATGACATATTTCATTTGTACTTACCATCAAGTAAATTCTGCTTACTAATAAAAGTGAAAATCAATTCTTAAGTTCTCTAAGTATAAACAAGATTTATAAAAGTTCCAAAATGGAACAAACTCTAAAATATTAATCAATTAGATTTATTTAGATGTGGTTAAAAGTTTAGTTTGTTATCATTTATTACACATTGATATATAAACGTTTTTGGTACTGATTTTAATAATTAGAACAAAATAATTTTAAGCAAATTATCATACAATATAGTTATTTGTATATGAATAATATATTTCCTTTCTAATATTTTATCAAATTTTAAGAAATTCAATTTGAAATATAATTTGTTTCGTACCTTTGTTAGTTGAACAGTTGCAAGAATAGCATCTATTAAAAAATTTTTATTCAATTATTAAGAATTCTTTTGTTATTTAATTTTTTTTACATCAAAATTTATAATCATGTTAGAAAAATTTCCTATAAATAGTTAATTTTATTTTAACTTTATTTTATTTTAGTTGACTATATTTACGGACGATAGAAATTTCGGTTTACTAAGTCTCTTTGAATTAACGCATTTTAGAAATTCACTGTTCCATAGAATGACCACTATGCAGCATCTCGTTATAATCGGTGTATTACATTCCTTAATTAACTGTTCGACTAATGCTTACAATTAGGCCGTGAAATTAAGTATCTAGTTTGATTTTAATTTGCTGTATATCCTATTTTCAACCGTTTCTTGGGGTGGAAAAATGACTAAAAATGTAGTATTAAATGTATTACAAATTATAGAATTAAATACAAACATTTTTAACTACATTTTACACAAAGAAAGACATTATATGCACAAATAAGTTACTCCACTTTTTCATTATGTTTCTTATTCTATTAAAGATTAACTTCTTTTTTAAATTAACTAACATTTGATCTGCATATTTACAAACAGATGTAAAAACATTATCCATAAAGACATATTTATTTTTAATCTATAAATTTTATTTATCCCAAAGACCAATTTCTTTCATTCTTGTTTGAAAATATTTTTCTAAAGCATTAGCACATCGATAATACTCAGTGTCGGGACTGTTATACAATCGACAATTAGTGAAAATTCGAGTCATATCGGCAATAAATAATCTTCTTGTAACATAATATCTAGCTTTTAGTCGATCAGTCATAGTTTTGAGATCTGAAAAATAAAATTTTCCATTTTTCTCTCACGTTTTATGGATAAATGTGTCTTTTGTTTGTATTTCTGTTATACTAACCCATCGGATATTTAATATGATCATAATAATCTGGTACATCATTCTTATCTACAGGCTTTAAAAATGGCCATGCTGTACTATGATTTTTTACGCTATTCAAAACATTTTTTAACGCGTTATACAAAGAATCAGTGATATCTAAGCATGCTTCCATTGGTTCTGGACCTTGAGTTCCCTTAGCTACTCCTCTTGTTCTTGTCTGAGCATAATTTTTCCAACCAGTTTCACGAATACCAGGAATAGATTCCACTGGAATTCCTCTAACACCTTCTTTGAAACATGTTAACCCTGGATGAACTTTCTGTATTTCCTGCTGTCTTTGATGAATTAACTTTTTAATAATTTCTTTTTGTTTCCGTATAACGGCGGTAAATTCAGTATATACAATTTTTGCATTTAATTCACAATGCATTAATGTTGCACCTTCATAATCCTTAATATACCCTTGATACATTGATCGGGGTAATTTTATATCTTTACTAAAGCCTTGCTTTTTGAAATATCCAATTGCAAATTCATCCGCGAATGTAAGAAAATGTAATATATTATTTTTTATATGGTAATCTTTAAGCATGTTCATCAAATGTGTACCATAGCCTTTAACTTGTTCTTGACTTGTAACTGCACAAAATACTATTTCTGTAAAACCTTGAGTAGGAAACATTCGAAAACAGATACCACCAATTGGTCGACCATCTTTTATTAAAGCTAGTGTTTTGTGTTTTCTATGAAAAAATAAAACGTTATAAACTCAAAATATACATTTATTCTAGTATATTGAGTACTTACGGGTCAAAGACAAGTTGAGATATATACTCTTTTGGCATTCTGGGCAATTGATGACTGAAAACATTATGTAATCCAATTAGCCAAAGCATTGTTTGTTTAGAAACTGGTTGTGTCAAACTGTTTCCAACTACATGAAATTCTATAATCTTTCTGCTTTCTTCAATTTTAGCAGTCTCATCTCGTGGTACATTTGGTGGAAATACCGCATCAGGGCCACACATATAATTAGGATCATTAATGGTTGCTACAATTTCTGCAACTGTTTCTTCTGATAAATCTTCAAAACTTTCTTCGTTTTTCCTTCTTTTTACATCTGAACGGCCTTCGGAATGTGATCTTTTTTCATGAATCTTCTTCATGCCCGGACTTATATTAATGGTTGTATAATTGTCTTTATCATTTGGAGGAATTGTGACTTTCTCAAATTCACCTGTTCTTCTTCCCTGATTTACTTTTGATTCCAATGCAGATTGTAAATAAGTAGGAGGTACTTGTTTAAAATCAGGATCCCAGATTGGTGAATTATCTGAGTAAATTTCTGCTTCTAACATTGATAAGAATCTTAAATCAAATAAATATATTATATATTATGCTAGTTAATGAAATAATATAGATAAAAGCAAAAAAAAATTTTCACATACTTAGGAAAATGTGTTAAGACTATTACTCTTTTCTCTGGTGCTAATTTATCTCGTTCACTATGACATTTATCTAATAACTGCCTTGAAACTGGTTTAAAAACAGCTTGAACAAATGTTCGTCCAAAAACTAGAGATGTATCATAATGAGGTAATGAATCACAAAAAGCTGGTATGTGACAAAATACAAGCCAACGAGTATGATTAATTTTATATGCAGGAGCTTCTTCTGCACTAATTGTGCCTCTTCTAGCACTGAGTGGATCAAAATTCCAATGATTTAAACAATGTAAAAACATCTTTGCCATATCACACATTGCTTGCATGTCTCTTTGTGGTAAGTGACCATATTTATAAGCAACAAAATTCATTACTGCTTTTGCTATACTAGGTCGTTCAAAAGGTGGTTGTCCCAAGGGACCTTCTATTGTAGGTTTTGTCATTGACTGTATACATTTTCTTAAAAGTTTATATAAATAAAAGTAAACCTTTTTTGTGTCAGGGTCTTCTTCTTTCTGTAATCCTAGAAAAATATTATCAGCGTCTATAACCATGCACAATAACTTATTAATTTCTTCTTCTGACTGATTAGTTAAATGTGAAACATGATTTTCTAAAACATGTTTACAACTTTTACAGGGATCAAAAAAATTTATAACAGGTTGCTGTGAATCATTTTTAGAAGACTTAGTTAATAGTTGAGAATTTTTCCATCCAATGCATTTACAATCTTCAACTTTACATGCACTATAAGTTGCAATTTTTAATATTTTTTTCATTTGTGGTAAATTTAACATCTGTTGTTTTCGTTGTTGTATTCTTTGTAAATTATTTTGCCGACTACTTTGTTCTTGAGGTTTGGTAGTATTTGATTCCCTGCTATTTCCTGCATGTTGTGACGTACTAGTTACACACTGACCACTTTCCTCTAATGATTGTAATGTCGAATTGCGATTTGCTTCTTCGGTTGACATAATTTGCTGAATAAAAGATGAGAAAAATATCTTATAGTTTATATATAAAACTACATACCAATTAGTTTTTAATATATGGAATTAAAAATATATAAAACTATAATAGTTCAATAAATTTACAGTATATGTACTTACATTACCTTGTAAATATCAAAATTGTTAATACATTTAGAAGGTTAATGATTAAAATTATTATATTTTTAACATAAATTATTAATGAAAGATCGTTCTATAATTAAAGGAAAGATTCATAAAACAGATATGTTTGTATGTAATATTTCCAACGTTTATTTACAATTTATAAATGAGCATAAAAGGTTAAGAATGAAAGCAAAATTAAATTGAACATAGTGCCATCTATTCGCCAAATGAAAAATTAATAATTCTCTTTTTCATTCACATCCAAGATTCTAAAGTTCTTTCCTTGTAAGTACAATTTTTGTGTTATTTTAAATAACATATATGATAATGTTTATGATAATTTTGCTGTAAATTATTTTAAATCTTCTACATATTCTATCTATCATAAATTAAAATAATTGTCAAAATGTATAATTTCAGTGACATTTTGATCACACGCTTTTAACCGCTTTCGAAGGTTTCATGAATTTTTAAACATCTCAGACTGGGAACAAGTGTGAATTGGTTTATCTTAACGTAGATGTTATCTGATTTGTGCTCGATAAGAAACAAGTGAAAAGTTCTTCAGACCTTTTACATATTGCGATATCAAGCGTATTTTATATTATTTTCTGCACAATTTACAAGGTACTTATTTTTAACTTCAGGAAAAATAAACAACAGAATACAGTAAGAAAACGTGAGAAGTAGAATACGATATAAAGTTTCTAAAGAATTAAGTTAACCACATTTTGGTTTTAATTGTACATACATTAATTCGGTACTATATCTTAGAAAATTTATATACATAATCGTGTTCTTGTTAGTATCATAAATTACAACGAAGGAAATAGCACTTAACATACGCGTAAAATTGTAAGAATTATGGCTACTTGGGATGGTTCTTATTCGGGACCAGATGATCAAAATTATTATGTATATTCTGACCAAAATGCTCCTGGACCCGCAACAGGAAACTGGACATTGTTTCGTGATAATATAAATAATGATTATCTACAATCTAATCGTGAGTTCTATGTACAAAATGAACCCATATTTGAACAGAGTAACCCAAATACTTTTTATCATTCAAACACAAATGTTATGCCAAATTTATTGTCCACAACTAATAGTTACCATGGGCATGTAACAAATCCCGTAGGTAACACTCCAATGTTAAACAGTCCGGAGTATTTTCAAAATGTTAATAAATCTCAAGAATGTTATGTATCCGAAAATTGTTGGGAATATGATTATGATTTGTTAAAGCATAAGATTAAACACGATCCTGTGAAGAAAGTTAAAGAATCTTCAAGCAATATAATGAATCATTCAAAATTGCATGTCATGGCAGAAGAATTTGTGCCAAATAATAGAGAATATGGTGATAAATATAAAAATAATGAATTACAAAATGCAAATCCCATTAATGATACAGATTCTTGTATGAAGGATAATGGTAAAATGTCAGATAAACATTTTTTTTGTAATACAAGTAGACATAAAAGGAAGTACAATAATAAAAAAAGTTGTAATTATAAACCTAAAGAAGGACAAGATCAGTTTTACAGAAAAAATGCATATGCAAATACCTATCAACAACAAGTCAAAATTTCTCATAAACTTCAAGGTAACAAATACTTTGCTGATAAATATCATTCAGGAAAATCACAAGCAAATTCAAAATGCATAAATGAAGATGCAGTCGATAAAAGTACAATAGATAATAATGTTGCTAGTAATAGTAAAACAGTTTCTATAACAAATTTAAGCAAAGGAGAATCATCTTTAAATATGAATATAAATTCAAATAAAAATAAAGACTTATCAAATGATGGTAAAGATGAAACGACTATTGATGTTGATAATAATGTACAAGATAATGTACAACAATTCAATAATATGACTAAAGAATTTACTTATTACAATTCTGGCCTAAAGCAGAATTACAATAATCACAGAAGTATAAGGAAATATCAATATAATGATAGATATAACAGAGATGGGAATTCTTATAAAGAAAAGCGACATCACCAGAGATACAATAGAGAAAATTACAGCAAAGAAGATAAATTTAAATTAAAAGATCAAACATGTAACAATAATGGAGAATGTAATGAATTGAAAGAATGTTCTAATGAAGAAATGGGACTAGAAACAAAAGAAGCAAAAGAAAGAAGATGTAATTATCAAGGATATAATGGATTTAAAGAACATAACAAGGAAAGTAAAATAGAAATTTTTAAAGAAAAAGATAAGGGTAGACATTATGTATTTCAAAACAAAGAGAAAGGAAATGAACATTGGAGAAATAAAAGAGAAACTAGCGAAAGAAATAATGTCCAGAAATGGGGACAAAATAAAAAGTCACCAATTGGTATGTGTGTAAATTAATATTTCAATACATTATATTGTATTTCTGACAATAATGTAATTTCTTTATTATATTCTATAGATGATGATGCAAGTCAAAGAGAAAGATTAACAGAACAACTAAATAGGGGACAATTAGAATGCTTAGTATGTTGTGAATATATTAAACAAAATGACTATATTTGGTCATGTTCTAATTGTTACCATGTGTTACACTTAAAATGTATTAAAAAGTGGGCAAAGTCATCGCAAGCTGGTAAATAACTAATTTTTTATAATTATATAATATTTTCATTAAAAATAATAGATAATTGTATTATTGTAGAAAATGGATGGAGATGTCCAGCATGTCAAAATGTTAATTTAATAATTCCTGAGAATTATTTTTGTTTTTGTGGAAAAACAAAAGCACCTGAATGGAATCATAGAGATATTGCCCACTCATGTGGCGAGATTTGTGGTAGAACATTATCAAAAAATAATTGTCCTCATAAATGCACTCTTTTATGTCATCCAGGCTCTTGCCCACAGTGTACAGCAATGGTAACAAAGTATTGTGGATGTGGTAAAACTTTACAAACAGTACAATGCAGTATTCATAAATTATTGTTGTGTGACTCTATATGTGGTAAAGATCTAAATTGTGGTAGACATAAATGTCAAAATAAATGCCATCATGGGGAATGTGCAAATTGTGAAGAAATAATAACACAAAGTATGTAATTTAAATATCATAATATAAAGTTAAATTTCATAATAAATTTATTTCCAGAATGTTATTGTGGTAAACATACAAGGGAAGTAACATGTCAGAGTAATATTTTGTTTACATATTCTTGTGAAACTATTTGTGGTAAATTGTTAGAATGTGGTAATCACACCTGTACAAAATTATGTCACCCAGATGCTTGTGAACCTTGTTCTTTAATTCCTGAGAAAATTACAACTTGCTGTTGCGGACAAACTCCATTAACAGAAAAAAGACAAACTTGCTTAGATCCAATTCCTACCTGTGACAAAATATGTTCAAAAAATTTAAAATGTGGACAACCTAGTGAGTATTTTAAAATGAGGATGCAAAAACTGTTTGATATAAAAGAGAAAGTATTATAAAATATTATAATATAATATATTATGCGTAGATAATCCACATAAATGCAAAGTGAAGTGTCATGAAGGAGATTGCCCTGTTTGTGATTTAACTACTGATGTCAAATGCCGCTGCGGAAACATGGATAGAGAAATAGCTTGTAAAGATTTGATATCAAAAGCTGATGATGCACGATGTGAAAAGAAGTGCATAAAGAAAAGATCTTGTGGCAAACATAGATGTAATCAATTATGTTGTATAGAGATAGAACATATTTGTCCAATGATTTGTTCAAAAACTTTAAGCTGTGGTAGGCATAAATGTGAACAAAGTTGTCACAAAGGTATGAAATTACACATTAACTATATAAAAGCTTGGAAATTAAATTTTGTAATAAAGTTCAAATTTACTATGAAAAAAGAGTTCAATATAATTAAGATATTATTATTTAAATGTATATTACTGAATCAACTCTGTACCATTTTTAAATATCAAGTATAACGTAAGTCTTATGTTAATGTAGGTAGATGTCAACCTTGTTGGCATAGTAGCTTTGACGAATTATACTGTGAATGTGGAACTTCTGTGATATATCCTCCTGTTCCTTGTGGAACAAGAAGACCTACATGTGACAAACCTTGTTCTCGTCAGCACTCTTGTGGTCATGAAGTATTGCATAATTGTCACAGTGAATCAATCTGCCCACCTTGTACTGTTCTTACACAAAGATGGTGTCATGGCAAACATGAACTACGTAAAGCTGTGCCATGCTATGTTAATGAAATTTCATGTGGTTTATCATGTAATAAACCCATATCTTGTGGTAGGCATAAGTGCATTACTATTTGTCATCCTGGACCATGTGAGAAACCAGGACAACAGTGTTCTCAGCCTTGCACTGCTCAAAGAGAAATGTGTGGACATATTTGTGCTGCTCCATGTCATGAGGGTAAATGCCCAGATATACCTTGCAAGGAAATGGTTAAGGTAATAAATAGAATTATTTATAAACTAATATTTACTATTTAATAATATGTAAGATTTTTCTAATTGAATTAAAAATTTGTATTAGTATATTTATTTCCAAAATTACTAGTAAAATTTATTTTATATAGGTGACATGTCAATGCGGGCATAGGACTATGTCTCGTGTTTGTGCCGAAAATTCCAAAGAATATCAAAGAATAGCAAGTAGTATATTAGCTAGTAAAATGGCTGATATGCAATTAGGTCATTCCATTAATTTGGAAGAAGTGTTTGGTCAAGGAGCAAAGAAGCAGAATCAATTAAAAACTTTAGAATGCAATGATGAATGTAAAATAATAGAACGTAATAGAAGATTGACATTAGGTTTGCAAATTGCAAATCCAGATTTAAGTGGAAAATTAATACCCAGATACAGTGATTTTATGAAACAATGGGCTAAAAAGGATGCACATTTTTGTCAAATGGTTCATGATAAATTGACAGAATTAGTCCAATTAGCGAAGACCTCTAAACAAAAATCACGTAGTTATTCTTTTGATAGCATGAACAAGGAAAAACGTCACTTCATTCACGAGTCCTGTGAATATTTTGGTTGTAAAAGTCAGGCATATGATCAGGAGCCAAAAAGAAATGTCGTTGTAACTGCTGTAAAGGACAAGGTAATATCTGTATAATGTTTAATCAGTTGAAACTAAGCACAAATTAATTTTTTTATTTTATATTGGTATCTATTACAGTGTTGGTTACCTAGTTATAGTCTATTAGAGATTGTACAACGAGAAAATGGTCAGAGAAAAGTTCCAGGTCCAATGTTAAACACTACAAAAACTGATGGATCTGTGAAGTATGTATTTTGTCTATTATTTATTAATGTGAAATCTTTAACATCTTCTCAATAAATGAATAATGAATTTCCATATTTTTTCTTAGGACAATATTATCACTGCCCGTGAAAAAAACTCAAAAACCAGAAATACCAGCAAGTATAAAAATATCAGAACCGGAAATAGATTATTTCGATTTTCAAGGTTAAAATTATTATCCCTGTATTATGTAAAGTGTAAGTAATATAAATTATGAAATTAATATCATAACTGGTAAAAATGCTGTTAAATATAATGGATTAATTAAACATTTTAATAATACTTATTCTGTGTAAAAATATATGTTATTAAGGTATTATTATTTAATTCATGGTATGTTGTTCATGATATGAGAGAAGCCTTTAGTATGTCTTCGTGTCCTTTTATGCACTATTGCTATGAGAGACAGGAAAAGTTCAGAAAGAGTTTAAAAAAGGCATTATTTTTCTCTTTTTTTTTAAATTTCGCTTTTAAAATAAAAAACGATACTATTAATCGTAAGTAAACATAGCAGTAGATGCGGTGAGAAAGACTCTGACTGCAGTGGTTTAAATGATTCTTGAAATACTAATATATACATATATTGAAATTATATAACAATTGTGATATCATAAAAATGAAGACTAGTTTATATCAAGTTCGTGGTATCATTTTTTGGATTAAGTTTAAATATAATCATTGATCAATTTGTTTATATTGGTACGACTAACGAAAATAAAGAGGGAAATGATACAATTTGAGAATTTCTGATGAAAAAGAAGGAAACGGGAAAGATTAATTTAAAATCTGTTTATGATTCCTATGAATTTACTAGTAAGATTACTGAGATACATATAAAGTGTATATATAATATATAATAAAAAGAAGAAATTTGCTAATCCATGGCCTTTATTTCTGTTTATAATCTTTTGTTTGAACAAAATAGGTGTAGTTACATTTACATATATAGATAATTGTAACAATTTTATAACGACACTACGCATACAATCTGATTATTATTAAAAATTATACTTTAAAAATTTATTTAAAAATATAGCGAAAGCAATTTTTTGTGATAATTATTACTATATTTAATTTTATTAATGTTATTAATTAATAAAAAATATTGTATATGTAACATATGTAAATTTATTGAAATTTCGTTTTATTCATTTTAATTTATATTTCAATTTCTATACATCATTCGAATTTTGTAAAGACATAATTTTATATTTAACGTAATCTTTTACATGATTATAACATTTGTTATATTTTGTAAAACTTTCAAAGAAATTATTTATAAAGAAGTAATCTACAATTTAGTTAAATTACCTTAGAATTTATTATTATATAACATTTTCATTAAACTTTGTGAGTATGACAGCATAGGTTTTTCTCTAATAATCTGATCTTCATAGATAAAAATAGTGGTTTATTGTGTACTACCATCTTTTGAACAGCATTTGTCAGTTCAGTTAAAATAATATCATTCATTATTGTTTGTACACACAGTTGTATATAAATATCAGTTTATATCGATAATTTTAAGGGGCTAATTTATATAATTTATAATCAATCTTTGTAAACATCTAGTATTGATAACACAAGTATTTGGCACATTGAACATTTATCTAATATGCTTTTTCTAAACAAATAGTGAGACCTTTCATGCTTGTGTAAGTACAATTATTTATTTTGTTTCATATTTCGTAATTAATCTTTTTTTTGTATTTCATAATTATGAGTTACAAATAATTTAAATATATTTGATTCTTTAAATCTAAATTTTAATAATGTAAATTATATAAAAAAAAGTAATACTTCTAATGAATGACAAAACTATGACATAAAATATATATAATCACATATACTTCTAACCTAGTATTTCACATATAAAAAACCCATATATAGATTAAATTACTCTCCCCTTCCCCTCACTCACGCTTACTCACTCACTCACACATTTATGCTCATATATAGAGTATCATTTTCATTAACATGACAGTAATAACTGATATTAAAAATGTAAAAACATGCTAATAATATAGATATAATTTCAGTATAACTATATTAATAAGTAATACCTGAAACTACAAAAACTATAATGATAGACATAAGGGATTTATATAAAATTAAATAAATGTAGTAACATATTTTGATATAAATAAAATTTTCCAGTCTCTTATCTCATAAAGTAGTTTGTTATATTGTTACTCATGACTTACATAAGCGTAAAATGGCCTCCTATTCTAGACACAAATTGCATATCACATGTAGGATCACAACACTGTTACGATTAGATCGATTATGCATTAGTTACAAAGGTTTTTTGTTGAACATTCAGTAATAGGGCACTTTAACTTTGAATTGATATTATTACTATTAATTGTCAATTGGTGCAGTAGATGTAGAGTAAAAATATCTTACTTATGAGTGGTGAATCTATTTACTATTACATTATTTTTTTATATACAGATTTCAGGTTTTTTTTTTTAGGAAATAGTAGCTCTTTTGTAAAGATTCATTATTCTATTACAATATAAAATATTTTGTCTCTGGTTTGAACAGAAAAAACTAAAAACATTATCAAAATAATGTATTTAAAAACTAATCTAATTTGAAAAATAGAGACATTTTTCAATCAAAATATATTCTTTAGAAGAATATTTTCTGTGTAAAATTTCTTTAAAAATGTAGTATATATACTTTTATATATAAGTTGTCAGAACACACGTTCATATTTGGAACAACATACTGATCTATTGCTATATTTATTTAAACATTTTAACTGCTTTTTCTGCCCGTTTTGTTAATAAAATTATGATATTATGTTTCATTACACTTTCTAATTAAATTGAAATTTAAAAGAAAAAGATGTTTATATTTTATAAAATAAAATCAATAAAAGATTATTAACAAATAAATAGTTATCTTTTGAGTTTCGGATATATAGATAAGATTTCAATAACTGTAAAATAATATTTTTGACAAGTTTTGCAATACAAACACAAATAAAGAATAATATTTTAAAAATCACTTTGGCATTTCGATTTTTTGATTCTTGACTTAAAAATATATTGCTTCATATATAAGGGTTATTACCTCTTTTCACATGTACGTTATAATTAGGATAACCACTTAGGTATTGGTGTCGTGGACTTACTGATGGTTGCTTGGTAATACTTGCCATTGCCCAACCCATAACTAGTTCTAAACTTCTACACAAAGTTTGATATATAAACCATGGCCATGGTTTTGGATATTGTGTAATAGTTGGTTGTGAACCATATTTCACAATCTCAGCTAAAAGTCCTAAATTAAAAAAAAAATTATTTTTCTAGAAACATCTTTTTTATATATATTTGATTGGTCTTTAAATAAAAATAATGCTACACAAAATAACAATAATTTTGTATGAAATTACCATATAGTCGTGCTACATCTGCAATGTATAAAATGATTCCTAAAATTGCGGTTGCAAATGTTATGTTTAATACTTTTCGAATTTGCGATCTTCTAACTGCCGCTGTATTTGCTTCCAACATATGTAATGGAGTATCCGATTTAGTTCTATTTACGTAAGCGATGTGGTTTAGTATTGAATGAAGCGTAAAATCATTACTCTGAAAATAGATGTTCAGTTGTTTAAAATGGTGTAACAGAAATTTGTCAAAACAAATGTAAATGTAAATGGCCAATATAACTTAAAATGAATAATAGAGTGAATCGAAAGTACCCCAACTTTTCCGTCAGCCTTAGTGTTTTCAGGAAGTAAATTAGTCTCGACAGTAATATCTTCAATATCTTCTTTCTCTTTTTCGTTTTTCCAAGATAAATTTTTCTTTCGTGATTTTCCATCATCATCTTTATCCTTATTTTTTTCTGTCATTAGAGCTGCCTTTTCACTACAGTCGGGTTGATCTGAATCAGATTCAGATTTTTCTTGTATTTCTATTTTGTCAGGAACTATACTACGACTGTGAGTTGGACTTCTACTCAAGCTTCTAATACTAATATCACTACTTCGGCGATTTAGATCCAATGGTTTAACTTGAACAAGTTCCGAATTACGTCGAAAAGAAATATCTGAATTTCTACGTAGTTCACTTCTAGAAATAAATCCGCTAACATCCGAATTACGTCTTGAACCTGAAACATAATTAAGATACAGATTTATTTAAATTAGAATTAATAACTCGATGTTAGTTTTTGTATACCTGTAGGACTTAGGTCCACGACTTTTGGTAATTTATGATGGTCAGTTGGAGGTAACATTCGTCTAGGTGTTCGATTTCCAAAATCACTATTTCTTTTTAATTTAGCAGCAAATTGAGAACTTCTGTTTTTTTCGTGTGAAAAATCAGAACATCGTCTTAAATCTCTAACACTTCCTAAAGGTGTTACATTTTCAGAATACCTTCGGGACATTCTATCCGGAGATCGTCTTCTATCGATCTCAGGTGAATGTTTAGGGCTAAAATCAGAATTTCGTCGACATTCCGACGTGAAACCATCATCTTCGTTCATAAATTTAACACTACACTCTGAATTTCTACGAGAAGATCTAGATGCATCACTGTCTCGTCTACTAGCTACCGAACTTCTACGACATGGACCGGATACTGTTATTATAGGTACGTTAGTTGTTGATGGTGTTGGAGTCGGAGGTCTAACATATACTTCTGGTACTGTCGAGACAGGAATTGTTTTCTCTTCTTGAGATGACATACTTTTACAAGGTGATTTGTCACATTCTTTTTGACTTTGTTCTTCCTTTTCACATATTTTCATAAGTCGATCTATAATATTGAAATTAAAGAAAAAGATTTTGAAAATCTTGGTATTTATAACTATATATTTTTTTTTAAATCTTCTACCTTTAGGATTTTTGTCTGAATCATTTCCAAAAATTGTAGGTTCTGTTATATCTGCATCTTTAATTTTAGGATTGAGCAAAGTTGGTACTAAGGCAGCAGCGACAGATGATGCTAAGTTATTATATGGAGCTAACATGGCCAGTTGCATAATACCTAAAACAATACTTAATATGAAATACTATATAAATAATTATTTATATAACAAATAATATAATAATTGCAATAATTATTATACAATAATTAAATTTATATAATAACATTTACCCCATATAATAATCTTTGTAACTATTGTAGTATTAAATAAACTAAAATTAGCTTATAGAAACAAACCTTTCTGAGGTGTATTAGAACTGTCTCTCATTAACATACTACTTGGCACAGTTTTTAATAAATGATTTATCTTATATCCTGCATGTAAGAATGTTATATATAAAAGAATACTCCAGATAAGGAACACTGTTTGAACCACATATTTTACCATATAACAGTTATGAGAGGTAAGAGCAATATCACTAGCAATTACAAAAAGAAAGTGTCCTGTTATAATTAAACTGAGACAAGATTCTTTTTGAATTTTTTCTGGTCCAAATTTGAGCTGAAAATTAATTTTATTCCATGTAATATCATTTTTGTTTAGTGATCAATTCTCTTATACTATTAAAATTATAATAATAACATTAAACTATTATATAATAACATTAAAATTACCTGAGTTAACTGCAAAAATGCTAATTGTACAAGGCTAAAAGCAGATGTTACACAAGGAAAACCAATATCCCACATTATGGATCTAATAATTTTGGGCATAATATCTTTAAGATTATAAGGATCTATAAAGAGACATGCCGCTCTTGATGCTCCAAGTATACATAAAAACATATTAATTGTAGACATAAAAGGCCGACTTGATATAAGAGATCTAAAAGAAATACAACATTTTTTTATACTTCTGAAACTTTCTATTTCTGGTATAAAATATACTTTCATATATACCTTAAGTGTAGAATAGATAAAAATGTGTAAAATGCAAGTATAAAGAAGAGGCAGGCAAAACCATACATATGTAAAAGAAAAATCCATGTTAGATCTTGATTTATTGATACCAATGATGGGGTGTTGATTAATAATTTGTCTAAAATTGAAGGTGTTGACAAATGTAAGACACAATTTTGCCCAGGTATTGGCGTAGATGATGATACATTCATACCTATCAGCAAGAAATAATGGAATTATTATTTAGAATAACAATCATCATAAGAACTATTATGAGATAAAAGTTGACTGATATGAAATAATTATAAAATTGATCATTTGTTTTTTTTTTATTGATATATTGGAATGTCTGATCATAGCTATCATAGAATTACCTTTATATATATATTTTGTATAATAATGTAAAACTATCGATTATAGTATCGCTAAAAAAAATACTAAAATGTAGAAAAACTGACCATGGGTCCAATTAATCAGCTTATCCATAATCTTTAGATTGATATTCACAGCACATCTGGTACTTTTTCTGGTACTTAAATCGCAATAATAGATAATCGATTTTCTTCTTTCAATTTTTTTTTTAATTTTAGCGAACAAGTTATCGTAACGACAGACTTTGAAATGTGGCCGCAGCAACAGGCTTTGCTTATAGAACAAGCCGATTCGCACCCCTTCTCCAATTCACGAATACCCACGGTCTCATCCGTTTCTCTCACCCTCTACTAGGAATATTGATTTTACACAAAAGGGGATGGAGGGAGAATTCAGACCATCCTAAGCTTTACGCCTGTCCATTGTTTATCTTTAGAATATAAATAGAGCATTACTAAATTTAACAAATTAATTCTGTCTTATCATTTATTATTATCTTGTTGTAATAATTTTGCTATTTCAATTTTGCTATTTAAAAACTATTTGTATTTTTCAAGTATAAATTGTTTAAAAAAATTATTCTATTTTTACGTAAAATTTTGTTACTCGATCGAAAGTTATAACTTACATTCTTAACTTTACTATTCAAAATTGTAATAATTATATTAATTTCATATCTTGATTTATTTTTATATTTCATATATTGTCATACATAACTTATTTATGATAAATAGTGAGCAAGTAATACAGCCTAACTCTGCACTAAGATTCAGGTCAATTAATTTTCTATCATTTTTCTGTAACAGCGGCTACTTGTGATTGAACGAACTCTTGTTTATTTCAATAAAATATATATTATATTAATTTATAATGGCAAAAAGGAACATTGTATATTTATATACAAACATCATATACATTAAATACTATATATATATATCAAAACATTGTAACGTTTGAAATAATTTATTTGTAAAAATTTGAAAATATATTGATTTGAAATAAATTTATTGAAGAATAATATTAAATCACTTTTTTAATATTCTTAAAATTGTAAAATTATGGAATAGATTAAAAAAACAATGTTACAAAAAAAACATCCTTTATTACAATATTATATTTACATCCATTTTCTTACACTTGCAATTTAACTTTCAGATATTTTACTATTATGCATTATACGGTTACTCAGTCTAACATCAATTTGTTAAATATAGTTAAAAAAAATAAACAAATAGTATAAACGATTTAATGATAATTAATTTTCCTATAATTATATGTATTACATATAAATTCATTATATAATAGCTGATGAAAACTCTATTGTGAGTTTGTATATATAGGTAATGATATTCCGTAGTGATCAATGAAGTTGACATGCTCTAACTGCAATTAATTGCAAGAGGATAAATATAGGGCTTAAAACTTCTGAATACTCTAAAGGGCTTTGACCTGACAGCTTTTTACATAGGAGATATTTAAAAACAAATATTAGGAGTAACAATATGAGACTCCATAGTGTTCTTAAAATAGCAGCTTTGATCATTCCTTCCATGTGCATTCTTATGAAAATAATTGCACAAAAATATGTATTCAAACCATCTGCAACAAAAAGTGGTGAAAATACTATCCACCATCCTGTATGACCCAAGAAATAATTATCATCCAACTTAAGAGCTAATAACATTGTGAAGATTGTTAATGAAATTAAATTTATCCATATTTCAAAAATTGTCAGTCCCAGCCACTGTACTAATTCATCTAAAGAAAATATCATTTTAAATGGATTAAACATGACACAATCAACAATTTGATTTTATGTTTTCATTCAACATATTGCAAGTCTTTTTTTCTATTATTTACTATAATTTGTCAAAAAAATCACTGATGCTCTATGAAAAGTTATAGTTTACTCCTGGTATCTAAGACCACCTAATGAAAACTTTCTAAACACACGAATATGTACTGCAGAGTTATTTCGATTAATTGTTTCATAATTTCCATTATCATCAAGAGGCTCAAAATCATCTGTAATAAATATTAAACAATTACTATAGTGCTTCTAAATATCATAAGTATAGTTTATATTTTGTGATACTTATATACCAATAATAGATATTGTAGAAGTCCTGGTGTCTAATTCTACACTACCATAATGAATCTCCTTTAATTGCAGAGCCAAGTTGCATGCTCTTTGCACAGTAGCACCAAGACCATGAATAATCACTTCAGAAGTATCATTGCTTAAGAGTTTTTCGCATTTCTTCAGTTGAGCCTCATGATTATAAAAATATAAAGATAAATTAAAATTAAAAAGCCAAAAAATTACCCTTGTGTTTACTATTCTATTTACATAACTATCATAATGAGTTATATGGTAATGTAAAACTCTAAATGTAAACATAAAATTCAATGGCAAATCGAGTAAATCCTTTAATTATATGTTAATTATATGTTTTTCGATGGATAGATAACATAATTACAAGTTAATTGTTATAGGAATAAAGTTTTATTTTCGAATCTATTAACAATTAACAATGTTAAAAGTAAAGGTTATAGTCTCGTGTGTTAAAAATTACCTTAAAGTTTGTTTTATTAGTGATAAATATATCGTTATCCTGTTTTTGCCTTCTACCGAAAGGTTGCCTCTTTTTAATGATATAATCTGAAGACAATAACTTCTTACGTTTCACTTTAGGCGCATTCCTCTCTCTTGGAAAACTCTCTTTCAACTTAGGACATTCGTGCACATCGGCCATTCTGACAGGTTCTACACGAGGGTTTCTATTTCCTTTCTCGTGCAAGAAATACTCTGATTGATAAAATTTATTTTCTAATTAAATAAGAAAATATTATTGAATTAACTTTAGAAAAATTCAATGATAAATATAATTAGTAAATCAGTTATAACAAGGAAATATAACCTCGAAAATCAAAGACATCGATTAATGGGCGTTTTGGCTACAATTTAGTGCATTGTACCGGAAAAGAGTGACATTCTCTGATCCGAACGTGGAACACAGGATTTATACATTATGAAAGAACCAGAAGTGGATCCGAAGAATATTATAAAAAGCAGAGAACTACTTTACAGGCTTATGATCAGGTTTACATATTTCCGTTTTTTGTATAAACATATTAATTATTTTTTATTCACTTAATATAGTGGAGATATTAATTTTCTCAAATTATTATATTTGTACAAAAATTGTTTTATTTATAAATATATTAATATAATCTTTTTATTAATATAATCTAAACAAATTGAAATTTGTTAATAACAAATAATAAATATTTTAGCCAACTATTCTATGATGGACACCAAACATTGGCTGTGCAGTTATCAAATATAATTCAAGCAGAACCTCCATGCCCACCGTCTGATCGTTTACTTCATTTAATGTTAATTGGATTAGCTCATGAACCTGATCGTTCTAAGAAGGACGCAAGTAATTTATCTTCCTTTACATCAACTTTTGATAATACTTTGGGACCTGGCCTAGATTTAGAATTTGAGACAGAAGCTCAAACGCAAGCTCCAGAACCTGCACAATATGAGACTGCCTATGTAACCTCACACAAAGGAAATTGTAGAGCTGGAGCATTTTCTGCAGATGGTCAATTGATAGCAACTGGATCAGTAGATGCATCAATTAAAATTTTAGATGTAGATAGAATGCTGGCTAAATCTGCACCAGACGAAATGGCACCTGGTGATCAAACAGGTGGTCATCCAGTTATAAGAACATTGTATGATCATTTAGAAGAAGTGACATGTTTAGAATTCCATCCAAGAGAGCCTATTCTTGTGTCTGGGAGCAGAGACTTTTCTATTAAGCTATTTGATTTTAGCAAGGCCAGTGTTAAGAAAGCATTCAGAACTATTACAGATGCAGATCAAATACGATGTTTGTCATTTCATCCTACTGGTGATTTTTTAGTTGTTGGAACCAATCATCCAGTAGTCAGATTATACGATGTTAATACGGCACAGTGCTTTGTCTGTAGTATACCAAGTCATCAACATACTGCTGGAATAACTAGTATTAAGTATTCCCCTGATGCAAAAACTTATGCATCAGCTGGTAAAGATGGAAGTATCAAATTGTGGGATGGTGTATCAAATCGATGTATAAATACCTTTGTGAAAGCACATGATGGCTATGAAGTATGTTCAGTAACCTTCACAAGAAATGGAAAGGTTTGTAGTATATAAATTATATATTTGTTATGTAATAAATATACATATTAAGTAATCGATACATAATCTTATAATTCTGGATTTCAGTATTTACTATCATCAGGAAAAGATTCTTTGATTAAATTATGGGAACTCTCTACTAGCAGATGCTTAATAGCATATACAGGTGCTGGAACCACAGGTAAAATACTAAAACACTAAGTATGTGTAAAGCAAACACACACAACATGCGTGCGCGCGGGCACACACACACAACACACGCGCGCGCGCGCGCGCGCACACACACACACACACACACACACACACACACACACACACACAACACACATAGTGTTAAATTTATTCATTTCCGTTATCGCATTAAATTTATGTAATTGATGATTTTCAATAGGTAAACAAGAACATAAAGCTCAAGCTATTTTTAATCACACTGAAGATTATGTGATGTTTCCCGATGAAGCCACAACGTCGTTATGCGCATGGAATTCTCGAAATGCATCTAGAAAACAATTACTATCATTGGGACATAATGGTCCAGTAAGACTGATTGTTCATTCTCCAACTGCTCCGGCATTTTTGACGTGCAGCGATGATTTCAGAGCAAGATTTTGGTTTAGAAGAATGCCAACTCATTAGATTGATAGTTAAAAGGCAAATATTTGTCTTAAACATAACAAAATTTAACGAGTTCGGTAATATTTATAACTTCAGATATGATTAACAGGCAGAGTGATAGTCATTTAAGCAGTGAAAGGGAAAATATCGGATGGTGAACGACATGAAAAATTGTACAGGAAAATATTGTGCAACTTTCTCCAATGGACAAATATCTAATCGCTATGCATTGAAGCGATAAACGATTACTCGCATAGCATATGTTAAAATGATATGATATAATTTTATATCATTGTGTATATTCGTTCCGTTTTGCTTGAAAGTAAAACATGCGACAATGTCGATTTGTCTTAATACTTATCTTCATCGATGTCAGTGTTATTAATAGGCGAATTCACACAAATGTTGCCATAATTTGTGTGTTTATTAAATCGACGACTGTAAATTGAAAATTCATCATTCTTCATGTTTACATGCAAATAGTAGATTAAAAAATGTTTTGCATTATAAACGTATGACAAGACGTGTTTCAATAACTATTATTGCTTTTTTGTGGTAACGTCGAATATTTAGTAACGAAGTACTTTTATTATATCCAAAAATACTTAGAGCAAAATTAATTTATTGTTATAATATATCCTATCGACAAAGTCGAACAAGATATTAGTAAATAAATTAACAGTTAAGTATAACGAAGAATAACAAAGTAAAAATTAAATGATTGAATTTAAAATGTTCCATATGTGATGCGTCGCTACGTGTCAAATTACTCGGTTAATCGCAAGGCGGCGCTCTGAACTCCCGCTCTGCATTTGACGATGTGTCACGTGACCCACGCTAACCGCCATCTTTGCTTATCGTATAAACAGTGCGACCGGGCTCAGCACGAATTCTTGTTGAGAAATTGCGGTTTTTCCAGTGTTTTTGAGTGATTCAGTTACGAAGAAATGTCCGAGATTAAGGCGGAGAGCAAGAACGATAACAACATTGAGGATGTGTCAAAGGTAAGCAGAGGGAAGCACGAGAAATATCTTCATCAAGCCGAGTTTTCATGCTAAGGCGGCGTGTTGCGCCCCTCAAATACAAGGAGATGTTCATTCTCTCGAAAATTCGATAGAATAGCTTGTGCTACGTTAATGGAATGTTGTTTGAAAAGTGATTATACGAGTTACGAAGCTATACAGCTAAAAGGCATGGGTGCCTTATTGCGCGTAGTCACAGGCTCAGTGATTTTTCAAAGCTGCGCCGTTTGTCCTTCATTGGCAAAGATGGTGGATGTTTTTTATTTGTAACTCTTGTGACGAAGAGAGTCGCTGGTTAATGGTAATAGGGCTGTATAAAAAAAAGGCGGGAAATAAATTTTGATTGCAGGGCAATAAACCACGCAATTTTCTATGAAAACTTGCTCTCTTTTAGGAACATCGTTCGAAACTACGACGCTAGAAATACATATCGACTTGGCAAAATGGCGGGAAACTTAAACAAACTTAGTGTATATCCCCGTGTAGTTCAACGGTCCTTGATAATCTTATCGCGGATGTAATTATCGTCACGTTTATGCGTTTTTCTCTTAGTCCAACATAATCCTTAAATTGACCATAATTCATTTTCGCATTATCGTTATTTTTTATGTTATGTTAAGTTATAATTAAGTGACGCGATGAATTTTCAAATGTTTTTATGCAACGAATATTATTGACATTTAGTAATTAAATACTTTCAGGACCATTCAACAGAAGAAAAACCAAGTCCAACGAAAAATAAACGAGGAGGTACGAAAAGACTCTCCACACTAGAAAGGTTGGCTCAAGAAGGAGAACGAGTCACAAAGGTGTGTTTTATTTTTCTTATTATTCATTTACATCTTTCTACCCATTTTATCTCTCTCCATTCTATTTTTGCGGGTTTGTTTGTTTTTTCTGTTTTGTATATATATATGTATATAATAGCGGTTGATATATGAAGAGTTCAAATGTATTCTTGAAACCCAAGAAATGAAGGTTTCATCCCTTCGCTTATTTCCCTCCATCCAGTTTCCCCGTAGACATTGCTTGCCTACGTGAGCAGAAAAGTGTTAGGAGTGGGGATGTAAAGGGCCATTGTAGGGGCGAGGGGAATTCTGTCAGGTCTTTGGAGGGGAGGATTCCACACTAATATACATCGTGACCGCCAATTATGAATACTTTTTCGTACTTATATTTTATCATAATTATTATCATTGTTGTTATTATTATTATTAGTAGTAGTAGGAGTAGTAGTAGTAGTAGTAGTAGTAGTAATAGTAGTAGTAGTAGTAGTAGTAGTAGTAGTAGTAATAGTATTTTAATTGCTAATGTATAGGCAGTTATTAGAATTTGTTTGTACTTTTATATGCTTAATTTTGTGGATTTATATAATCGCGGACGGCATGTATAAATAACGCGAATTTTTGTATCATTTTATTAAAGGAAAGAAAAATGAGCACAAAGTAAATTACCAATCTAAATTATCTTGTAAGTATAACAATAGTGAAATTCTGTTTAATTGTATTCTATAATTTCTTATCATTGTCATATTTATCAATGTATATTTCTGTAAGAAACTACTTCTGTTTTTTTTATTTTCAGAGTTATAATTGACAGTATATGATTTTTTGTTTGCAGGATTTAAATGCATCTGTTGGAGAAGTCGAAGGAAGGAGGCGTACACGTAGTTCAGCACGTGGCCTAACTTCATCAACACCTGTGCCATCTCCACCTAAAAAAGAAAAGAGGGACACATCAACAAAAGGTACTGGTCGTGGGCGCGGGCGTCCTAAACGACAGGAAAAAAATAATGAGAATAATACGGATGAAGAAGCGGCTAATAATAAAAGTGAAAAGCATTCCGAAGAGGAATCTATGAAAATGGATGTGGAAGAGCATAAGGAGGAAACAGAAAAATTAGCAGATAGCGAGGACAAGAGCATTGCGAAAACCGAAAGTAAAGATGTTACTGAAAAGACACTTGATTCTAATTTCAAAGAGGAGAAGGTTGTGGAAGAATCAGAAAATTTTGCGGAAGAAAGCAAGAGTTCTAGTGTCAGTGAAGAGAAAAAGGAGGAGGACATAAAGGATAGCTCGGATTCGAGTCAAGATGCAACAGACATTACAACAGAGGCACCACCTTCATCTTCATCAGAGTCTCAAAATCCCTCTAATGCCACTACTACTGAAGAAAATAAGGAATAACCTCCCTTCGCCTGTTTACCAACTTCATGTAAGCATTTTTTTATAATTGTTTCTTTGATTCGTCACTAGCATTGATTAGATTTTTTTGTTGAGTAAATTTGAAATGGAAAAGAGCGAGAATGTATGGGCACTAGATATTTTAATGATGTTACTTTGCAAAGATACAAGAAAAATGCATAACTACTTTTGTGTATTTACATTGTTCAATTTTTGAGGATGTATGAATGTTTACAATTATTTTCAGTGAATATAGAGTATGCAAAATATAAGTTATGAACGTGCAATTTGATAATTGAATGTATTATCATTGATTATGATTCATGAGAAAGAAGATTTATTACCTTTCCATGCATTCTCAGTTTTTTCAATTGGTATAAGAGCGAATAGTATATTAAAATACAAATTATTTAATAACATGAAGTATGAATGGTATAAAACTTGTATAGATTTTTATAAACTTTAATAATGTCAGTACATGGTTGAAAAACAAATTGAATCATAGAGAGCATTGTCAAAATGTAATTGTAGCTTGTTTAGAAGCAAAGACTTTGTTATAAAATATTGATTTTACTGTAGCAGGTACCAGGGCGGCGCACACAATGGGGTTACAAATCCAGTCCCCTCGTCTATTTTAACAAATTGACACCTTCTTGCCGATCGTTATCCTAATCAGAGTACGCGAGTATTACATCACTTTTTAATTCGCAGACGAAATATCGTGATACCTTTACACTATACATTCATTGCCAGGATAAATATATGTTTAATTAGCGTATTTAATGGTATGGGGTGTACCATAGAGTAGTTGTTTTAATTTAGTTTTACTTTGATAAAGAGTAAAATTACTCGTTGTGCACTGATTAGTTGGCGATGCAAAGCGAGGTGTAGAGCGTACGTTGTTCATGTACAATGATAATATTATTGTAAAATATATTTAATATGGACTTATATAGACAAGTTGTTTTCAAATCAGAGCTGAGGCAGGAGTCTTTAAATACCAGTCTTCAATTCAGATCTGATATGGAAGTAGCTGAAATTAATTCGTACATAGCAAATTACTGTAATACCTTATCTTATATAAATAATGACTGAATGAAATGGAATATATGAGAATTATGGTGAAACGACTTCTCTTTTTTCATGGAATGCAGAAATAAAATTTCTGAGAAACGCGTCGTAGCGTGATATCAATTGTCTCCTTCCTCGCATAATGTTACTAATATCAGCCAGTTTTTCAATTTTAATATTTTATGTTTTTTTTTATATTTAGTAACTAACACTTTAATGAAATATGCATTGTTTCTATCTTTCGAATTGAGAAAAGGAAAAAGAAAAGATTGTAAGATAGACTTGTGCATATGTATCTTTTTATGATAGAATTTCGTCGATATTTTGCGATGAGTGTTAATCTTTTTATTAAGCACCCCTTTTTTTTATTCATAATGGTCCAATATTAAATATGTTGATATTATTGTGTATTTGAACGGTTGTGAATGTACAGATAGATTATATAATTCAATGAACTATAATTAAAAGGTTCACAATTTTTAACGAGGCATAGAAATGGAATGATAAATCTAATCGTTGAACGCTTGAACGTTCGAACGTGTGTGCAATTAAAGAAACAATTTGTTTCGATCGCGCTTGCATATCCTTTAGGTCACGCGAATGTAAAGTAACGTCGATATTCACCCTCTCCCCTTTTATCTTGATATTCGTTACAAAACTTTCGAATAGATTTTCTAAAGTCGTTATCGAGTAGGTTTTTAACTTAATAAAGCGTCACCGAGACAATTGAAAGTTTGTAAACAAGGAAAGAAAAAGAAAAAAAGCAGAAAAGAAAGTGATTTTAGCCGAGCTGCTAGCTTCTGATAATTATCATATCGTAAGAAAAGATAGGATTTGCCATTCCATGTATTTTTTTCTTTTTCTTATCAGTAGCATGACGATACAAAGCGTCGCTTTTCGTGAGAGATTAAAATCAAATGCGATACGCGTGTAAATAGTTAAGGTTAAGCTTCGTGTGTGGCAATTGATCTTATCTCAGACATGGTAGCGTGAAGGATTGGAACGACGTGTGCCAGCGTGAGCATCCTGTTATAGAAAATATAGAAAGTATAGCTGAAACACATTTTTTGGTGATTCAATCAAAAATGGAACATTACGATACGCATTACGTTACTAATTAAAAGTTTAGTCCTTCTTACGAGAGTAAATGATACATTTATTTTATCTATACATAAGTATATAAATGATCAGGATTTATGAGAGAAAAAAGAATGTTTACAAGGTTTGATATGAGAAAGTTTACAATATATACATACATACATGCGCACGCACGCACATACACACATACAGAGAGATAGACACATATATACACTTACATACATTCCCGTTCCAAGCACACATACATTTGTTATTTTAATTGTATGTCAGTTTTTGTTACAAATTATAGAATTCTTATCAATTTGAACTTCATGCTTCAGCTCTTGCGATGAGTATCTAAAGCAAATTTTTATAGGTTTGAAAAGTACGATTCGTATTTTACATAAATACCTTGATCGAAGTTGGTCGATCAAGAAAAGTGATTTATTGAAAATCGAAATTACCTTTGATAGTCAATACATTTACCGTATGCTATTATCGATCGTAAATAGACAGTTATATAGCTCGAAATATTAGATATATGCGAGTATTTATGAAATTTGATGAAAGATTTAATGCAAATATTCGAAAAGGGACATTGATAACTAGAACTATGATTAGTATAACTTAATTTAACAAATTTTGTAATATGGAGTACGATAGAAAAATGAAACCATGGAAAATATGTTTATCAAAATGCGATGTGCTAAATGTCGCAGATATCTAAGAAAAGCGAAATAATTAAAAAGAAGTCACTATAGATGAATATATTCGTGAAGGTGGCTTTCCAAATTTACTTTAAGATATAAACATTGGATATGTTCAGTTTAGTAGGTATTATATACATGGTATATTTAGAAACGGTAAGTTTATAGCATCTCGTTAAATTGAGTTTATGAATTCTACGTATATAAATTATAGTTTACTTAAATAATCCTTTAAGAGCTGAAGCGATAAATGTTAATAGAAATGCTAGTGCTGGGCATTGATCTTGTAAAGCATTGATACTGCTAAAATTTGATATCCTTTTTAAAATTATCTTTCAAGGACGTAAATATTTTCAGTTTTCCCTAAAATAGAAAAAAGAAGGAAGTATTATCGTGATACGAAATAAACGGGTTTTAATAAGTATATTCACGTTATCGTTTGTCGTATTGTATGATGTTAAACGAATATGCAACCATAGTTATCGACAGTCAATAATGTTGGCTTTGTTACTTGGTTAGTTGCGTTTAATTGATAGATGGCGAGATTGACGTGTCGTATAAATACCGCGAATTTAAAAATGACGTCTACTTACGCTGTCATATCTAGTGATTTTCTCAAGGAAGGATAACGCACACCGAACCAAGTACGTACAATTATTCACAGGAATATCTTTTTGATTTGACAAGGATAATCATTGATTTATAATAACGAAAAAAATCGATATAGATATATATTATCAAAACGAAAGTTAAAATAAGGAAGAATTATACCGTTTTCATTCAGTGGTGTACATTCTATTGGCATCCAAATGATAAATAGAAAAACGCGACTGTTGTTATCGATTGTTTACTGTACGAAGAATTAATTTTAATGAATATCGCTTTTGGAAACCATTTGGAAAGTTGTAGTTGGAAGAACAAAATTATCAAAACACGTTTAGGTTAACCACAGCTTCACCATTTCTACATCTTCTTTACTGCTACGATTTTTATTCATAAATGGTAAGTAGCAAATTCACTTCTATTTAAATATCTTTACGTCCCGTTTGAATCAAGTTAGGTTAGTCTTTCGCATGACACCATTAAATGCCGCGCTTTCAATGATCTGCAGGGCCAGCTAGGTTAGCCTTGACTTCTTTAAAAGAGCATGTGGTTGTTGTTTCACTTGCTATTACGAACAAGTTCAGACTGCTAGTATCGATACTGGTTAGTTACTTTCTTTTTCGAGTTTTATCGATAGGTGGCCGTCTTATTAGTTATCGTCGATCAGCGTCATTGGCGTTTTATCGTTTGGTTTTTTCTTTTTTTTTTTTTTTACTTTCGAAGCACCGAATAGCGACGCATGCGTGTTCTCGATTTTATCGCTTTTACCATTATATACGTTTAAGGAATGTCATTCAACGTACGCATCTAAGCCGATATCCGGTTCTTCGTTTACTTTGTAGGATGTAAGTAAGTATATATTTATCTCGTACTATAGATATAGAATACGGAACGATCTAACGAAGAATCGAACAGCAGGGTTTGGCCGTTCTTTCCGGTACGTCGACGAGATAAAGAGGACATTTGCGAGCGAGTGTGCAAAGATTGTGGAATGGGAGTGCGGCTGACTATATTAGCCATCGTATTGCATCTCGGTAATTATATGTCAGGTAACTAACTGGTGAATAGCGAGATGACATGTTTTTTGCTAGTGGGTTATCGATGAAGTCCATTATACAATTCTCTATGAAATCGTATTTCAAAATTGTATCTATTTTCAGACATCGAAAACTTCGCTGAAATTATCCACATTTTCGTCTACCACCGCTGCAACATTATTCAAGCGGAACGAATGAAATTGAAAACTCTGACACGACATTTATTCGATATCAATATTACGGAAACTTTAGTCGGTTTCGTATTATCTTCGTTAAATACTTAGCAGGAAGAAAATACTTAACAGGTTTGTCGCGTAATGTATATGTGTGTCCATTGCAGGTGAAACGTTCATCTTTGAAGGTTTACGGATAGGTTAGGGTATACGTGGATGTATACCGCGAACGCGTTACCGTTGAGAAATCTCGTCCTATGGAACTGGCGCAATTATCGAGACAACGAGGGTGAGCTGGTGTAAATTAATAGTGGTTGCAATTAGAACGGTGACAGCGTTGATTTCGAGGTGGAATCGGGAAACTCGTATCGTAACGAAATCGGTAATTGGTTTAACAAAGGATCTGTTTCTCGAGCAGCTCACCCACCTTGTCTTCACGGTTAGTCGAGACAAAGCTGATGGCTCTACTCGTGCTCGGATCTCGATGGAGGAAATCGATAATCGAAAGGACGCAAATCGACACGAGAACCGACGTGCATTGGTATTTTCCATAGCTTTCGTAGGATTTCAAAATATTTATTTCCTCGTAATTACATGCGATTACATTTACAGAGTGCCGGTGGTTACGTCTACTAATGCGTTCGTATAGATGATTACCGAGTGTTAATTGCATCGCAGGGGAATGCCACCCGCAAAACCGCCGGGAACGCGCATAGCCCAACATAACTGAACGCAGTCAAACGTACCGTGTCTGAATTCCTTTCGCGCTAGATCGATCTTCGACCTTTTGCTCCTCTCTTGGTTCCCGATTACGCTACCGATTCTTCTCCGATAACGAGAGACCGGGTGGAGAATGTTCTGATCTCCACCATTTTCACTCTTCCTCTCCAAGAGCGACGAAGCGGAATAACGCGGGTGGAACTCGAAAAGGAAAAAAAGGAAAGATAGACGAAGAGAAACGAGAGTGTTCGGAAAACGCGCAGGTTGGATCTTTGAGATCAAATTGAGAGATTACGATGGATTCGGACATACGAGTCTACATCCTCTCACCGATTTCGCAGAATTGTGCGGCGCGACGTCACTTACGGAGTGGAGTTAGAGGTGCACGATGGCATGCGAGGAATGCGATACGTCGGTTACGATACGTACACGTTTCCTGGCCGCGACCCATGGCCTTTGTTGCCACCAACGGACTCGTGAAATCTCATTTTTCGAGTTCCACTCGGCAGCGCGACGTTTACCGTGCGGTTTTCCCAAGTGGAAGAGTCTCGTCTTTGCCCTGATTCGTTCGATTCACGGACTCGGAAAGCGGTAAAACTAATTTAAAGTAAATCGCGACTCGCCATTTCTTCGTCCGTTTCCACGTCCGAGATTGCTTCTTCTTGAAACCTTCTATTTACACCTTCCTTCTTGATCGGA